TCTCCCCAACTTGTCCCCAGAGGCTGACCTCTATTCCATGGCCCACGGAGGCACACTTCAGATCCGACAGTGGTGAGTGCTTATATGCCTAATGCTCCATTTTCCTAGAACAAAATTATCTTCCAAAGCATAGGAGCAAAGACACCACCACTTCTGCCCACCGCTGCTTGCAGTGGGAGAAGAATATTCCAACAGCCCAACCAAGTGTCTGGCACAATCTGCTATTCCACAGTGCCGAGGCGGGGTTTCGGATGAGAAATACGAAATACCATTTTGTGCTTTGAGAATTATTTAGGCCGTCACTAACTGGCAGTCCCCTCCTATGGAAGGCTTTTCGTATGTAAAGACTGGCTGGACCTGCTCTACCCAAGGCTGACAAAGCATACTCTGATATGGGATCTGGGTCTGCTCGGCTGCCTCAGAATCTTTTTTTTTTTTTTAATTTTATTTTTTTCATTATGTTCAGTTAGCCAACATAGAGTACATCATCAGTTTTTGATGTTCAGTGATTCATTCGTTGTGTCTAACACCCAGTGCTCATCAAGTCACATGCTCTCCTTAATGCCCATCACCCGACTACCTCAGACGCCCCACCCCCTCCGTAACCCTCCATTTGTTTCCTGGAGTCCTGAGTCTCTCATGGTTTGTCTCCCTCTCTGATTTCTTTCTGCTCAGTTTTCCCTCCCTTGCCCTGTGGTCTTCCGCACTATTCCTTATATTCCATATATGAGTGAAACCATATGATAATCACATCCAAATCTTAGGAAGAATATTAGGAATCGTGGGATTCCGTGGTTGGACAGGACTCCCTGGGTATGTGGCTGGGAAGGGGCAGGTGGGAAAATGGGAGGAGACACTAAGGAGTCCTTCTGTGGGGATGGGTACTTGACCCTGTGCCACAGACACTAGCCAGGTACGGCTAGTAACCAACAGAATGGTGTAAGAACAAAAGCCACATTGGGTCTCAAAGTACGAAAAAAAATAATGTTAAAACTCTCAATTTTAGGTTGATTGCATATTGACATTGTGTGTGAAATAATATTTACTGTAGATTCGGTTAGGAAATGTTAAAATTGACACCCCCTTTTTCTACTTTCTGGATGTGACTATTCAAAATTTTAATTTTAAAGCCACCTACGTGGCTTATATTTCTAGTGATCAGTGCTGCTTTATATCCAGTTCACAGGGTGGAATTATGGCTCATGTTCACACGTGTTTCCTGTATTTTTTAAACAGGAGAAAATGAGAAACAATCATAATCCGGAGTCTTTCAGAAAAAATAAATGTATAAGGGAGAGTCTGAGAGTCTGGCACACACATGTCCTAGTTGTAGGATGTGGGCAACTAACCTGAGACTCAACTTCTTCTTCTGTAAAATGTACATAGTAACAGCTTTGATCTCACCAGGTTATTGTCAGAAGTGACAAATGCAGAGGAAAGCAGCACAGAGTGCTCAGCTCAGAACCTGGCATAGTGAAGAATCAATACTTCGTTATTCTTGGTTATATGTCAAGATTTTTCTGATGCCTTACCATTTCTGTTTAAGATTCAGAGAGAGCGAGTGGCATGAGCCCGGGTAGGAGCAGAGCGAGAGGGAGAAGAACACTCCTCTCTGAACAGGGAGCCCAATATGGGGCTCGATCCCAGGACCCTGACATCATGACCTGAGCTGCAGGCAGACGCTTAACCAATAGAGCCACCCGGGCGCCCCTCTGATGGCTCATCTTTACTTAATCCCTGTGGATTTCTAACTCCGCTCCTTGTCTCTCTTGTTCTCCAAGTTCCTGTTTGCCATCCTGCCTTCTGTTGTATATCAGACAGCCAAGGTTTCGCCTTATCACTGCAGAAGCTTGGGTCTGGTTCCCAATTTTTGGCAACTTGTTCAGAATAAGGCACCTCCCACTTACTGACTTTAGCTCACTTGGATTTCAGAGCAAAAATTTTCTCCTGGCTGAAACTGCAAATCAGGACACGGCACTTCGACTGCTCGTGTCCCTTGCCTCATCCCCAAGATACCTGGTCTTGCCTTTGACTGCACTGCGTCTTTTGACGAGAAGGTCAGTCAAGACCAACTGATGCCACCAAAGAGGGTGAGGGTAACAAGAAAGGTCATGTAACCAGTTGCTCAGGAGAACCAGGCCAAGGCCAGAACAACTTTGTAACTTGCCCTCAAACCTGGCCCTTTTTCTGTTTTCCTTCGAGGGGCTTGGAAAGCCATGCTGTGATCAAGTAAGGACAAGTGGGTTCTCGTCGCCTTCTAGATTCTTGCTGCCTGAAGTGGCGCCTCCCACAGTGGAGCAGAACACACATCCGAAACCCTGTGCTCGATGTCCATGTTCTGGGAACTAAGTCTTCAGATGAAGCTGGTTGTACTTGTCTGCAGTGGCAGAGAATAGAAAAGAACTTAAGCCTCGATGAAGACATGTAGCTTCCCTAGGTATGAGAAGCTTCCTAGTTCTTTCAGTTAATGAGATGAACCTTTTAGTCAGAACTGCTGCCAGTATAAACAAGGAGAAATCACTTACGGACCCACTTGGAACAGCACGCGCGGCTGGAATGCGTCCATGTCCGTGCTTTTTGAAGCAGTGGGAAAAAGGCTCCCACTTGCCTATGCAAGTATTTTTGTTGTTATTGTTTAAACACAGAAATGATTCTTCCCATCCACCAGCTTTAACTAGGTGATTCAGAGGATACTCCTTAGGTGATTTTTTTTTTTTTTTTTTTTTTTTTTTGGTCTTTGCGATTCACTGAGTGTTCTCAGGGAAGCAAACTCAAAGAAATAAGCAAACTGGTTTGTGTTTTAAGCTTGGGCTGAGGTTTGACAAGAGAAACCCTTGGAAATTATCAGGGAGACTGGAGCTTCCTGGGCCTTCTTTGTGGACAGCTGGGTTTTGTGGAGGATTTATTGAGGGAACTGGGTTATTACCGGGGTAGAGAACATACCGAGGGCCACTCCAGCCACCAGGTAAGGAAGGCATGCCAAGGCGAGTGCGTGTGAGAGGGCCAACCCTGGAGGCATGAACAGAGCTGGTTTTCTGGGAGCATTTGTGAACAAAATGTTTCCCATGGATCAGAGGCAGTCAGAGATTATTGCCAACCATCGTTTCCCTGTGGTTTCCTAGAAAATACAAAGGTTCAAAATGTGAATGGATCTTCCTTACTATGATAAGCAGATTTAAGAGAGGGAGGGAGCATTTCTAAAAATTCAGTACACAGCTGTAAGATACCAGCTCTCTACACAGGCACTTACATTCTGGTGTCTGGGCTCCGGAGTGAAGAGAGCAAATGTTCTGTAGATTCCTGGTCTTCCTTTTTTGGGATGTGTTTTTTGGTTGTTGTTGTTTTTGTTTTGTTTTTGTTTGGTCACTGTAGACAAATGTTCCTTTTCTCTGTCAGAGGTCATAGAAACAGAGATGTGTGTGTTGAGATGTAAATAAAGGGGCATGCAAATATAACCCTACAGTCATCCTGTGATCAATTTACGGGTCAGAGCGGTGTCTCTTGAGGGCCTGATCCTTTTGGAGGCTGATGTAGCTCAGAGCCACAAAGGCCATGAGCATGCTATTGGCTAAACTTGAAAGCTGTTTTATATTTTCCATTACTTGAGGATAATTGTCTTTTTCCCCCATGAGGATGGAAGAGATGATACAATGAAATATATTTGAAAAGGAACAGAAGTGCTGTTGCAGGAATGAGAATTAGAATTCCAGGTGTACACCCCTAGTAGATACATGTCCAGGAAACATTCTCAGTGACAGGCTCTTCCCGATTTTGTGTCCCTTGAAATTGAATGCACAATCAGTGTAACTAAACATGCTTCTTTGTGGCAAGGGACACCATTTCCATTTGTCTTGAAAATATCACTGGGTCTTTATGTGGACATTCTTCAAAGTACAAATACTGTTTCACCTGATTTTGCAGAGTGTATACATCTGTTTCCTGAAAAAGAACTGGATTGCTAAGACTACATAATATGCTTTCTGGATGAAAACATTTTTTTTTTTTTAATTAAGAGCTATCAACAGGTACAAACAATTGTCTAAAGCATTTAACGGTCTAACACAGTCCACGCCCTGGGGCTTGAAATACTGTGAAATTCCTTTTTGCTAGCCCCAAGAGAAGCTGTCAAGCACAACACTGAAAAATCGGTACCATTTTCTGACCGGTAAGCGCAGATCTGGGGAGCTCAGTATTTTGTTCCTTGCATTATTGTTCTCATGCTGTTTCTGTCTTGCCTCTCGCCTGCTCAGGGCTGATTGTCGTGACCTTGGCGGTCTGCTGGATGCCTAACCAGGTGCGGAGGATTATGGCAGCAGCCAAACCCAAGCACGACTGGACCAAGACCTACTTCCGGGCGTACATGACCCTCCTCCCCTTCTCCGACACCTTCTTCTACCTGAGCTCCGTCATCAACCCGCTCCTGTACAACGTGTCCTCGCAGCAATTCCGCAGGGTGTTTGGCCAGGTGCTGCGCTGCCACCTGACGCTGCCCCACGTCAACCACAGCAAGCACCTGCGCGCCCACCGCGCCTCCGCCGAGGCCAGCACCCGCTCAGCGCTCCGCCCCCTGATCTTCAGAGCTTCGCGTTCCAACTCCTCCGCAAGAACGAACAAGGTTTTCTTGAGCACTTTCCAGAGCGAGGCCAAGCCCCAGTCTGAGCCCCAGCAATTGAGTCTCGAGTCACTAGAGCCCAACTCGGCAATGAAACCACCCACTCCTGCCACGGGGAATGGTTTGCAGGAGCATGAAGTGTGAATGTCAGGTATGGAAGCCTTGAAGGCTAACCGGCCTTCTGACTCCCCCAACGAAAGCAACATTATCCTGACACAGCGATGACGAACTGTGCCCTTAGGAGGGACAGCAGTGGGAGCTAGGGGCCTTGGGGGAAAATGGACGCCCACCTAAGTGCCTTCTAAGGGCGGATTCTGCCAGCTGGACCTTGCCTCGGGAGAGACAGAGCAGCCTTTTGCTTACGCCTTCCCTTCCTTTAAATACACACTGAAAATTCAGACTGAATTTATTCAGAGCTTACAAAAAATGTTTTTACACTGAGCTCTTTCGGTGACAAAGGAACTGAACGAAAGAGAACACACTCCCCTCCCCACCCAGAATAACAGGACACCCAGGAGAAGCTTGGGGAGCAGAGGGAGCGGAGGGCCCGAAGAACAAAGCAGGAGGGGCGCGCATCTCCTTCAGCTTCAGCAGTGAGCCAAGAGGAGGGCCAAGTGGAGGAGCAGGACGGTGGTGGGGAGCCCGGGCCGGAGGGCCAAGGCAGAACTGCTCCGTTTCTTGGGCCGGGGCCCGTTGCAAAGAGGGGTGTTGCAGCAGCTGATGCACACTGAGTTCAGTTTCCCAGGGGAGCAGAAGGACTGGTACCCGGCGGAGGCGATGAGGCAGGCCGCTGAAGACGCACACGACTTCCGGTACATGACGCCTGCAACACAAACCCAAGGACTTGGGTTAATGCTGGTGCCCAAAGGGGAGCTCATCCTTCCTCCTCCCACAGCCCACGCACCTGGAGGGGCGAGGAAGGTAGTTTGGGTTGTTTCCTTGAGCACCCACCCCTCCCCCAACACTACCTATAAGAAAGAGGACTTCTTCCCCCTATAGCTCCATTACTTTTGACAAATTGCGGTTATCTCCACTAGCTGTTTGGAACAAAGAGCTATTAAATCAAAGTTTGCTTTTAAAAATGATATAGAAATTATTATTTTTTAAAATTGCTGTAGCTATCTCATGCCATGGAGAATGATACTGTATCACCTCTGGATATCATCAAATCCTAAAATTCTCCAAAGAACTAACCCCCATGAGAATAAGATCTCTACTGAAGGGGCCTTGGTTTTTCTGAGGTTTCAAGGTTCCCTAGATTTTAGGGAGGGCGTGGCCCAATGTTGACAATGTACCCAAGAGAGCCTTATTCTAGGAAACAACTTTGCCCTCAGAATATATGGCCATCTGCCTATGTAGCGTCACACCACCTCCATTCAGTAACATGCTGTGTAGTTATGTGAAGGAGCACTTAAGACCTGTCCAACTGACAGCACAGTCCTCAGAGGAGTTTATCTTGAATATTCAAGTTCTTTAAGCTGGAACCTTATTCAAGTCAAATAATAGCTAACTTCATTTGCGTGCTTACCTGTAGGCCATGCAGTCTACAGTGGACTGCTGTGTACTGGTTCAACCCTACAAGAGAGATCCTCATTTCACAGATGGGGAGCATGAAGGGCAAGAGAGATTTAGGAACTTACCCAAGGTCACGCTCCTGGAAAACAGAGGAGATGGGATTTGAACCTAAATTCTGGCTCCATTCTGTCAAGTCCTTACTAGTATATATACCAAAGTTGCCAGACAGTAAACCACAAAAATATTTTTTTGGGGGGAGTGGGGTGGTTGGAGGACAACAGTATCTCCTACTGAAGCTGGACCTGGACGTGAGGGGCTCTGGCTTGTGTGCTGCCCTGCACAGCTGAGGGCTCCAACCCACCTTACCTTCGGACTCCCTTCGGAGATGGGTGTTTGCAGGCAGTGCTTCTGTTTGCACCTTCCTCCCCTTTCTGAATCATGGTTTTGGGTTATGGAGAAATAGTAAAGAATTGAGCAACCTAAAACTTCCAAGTGGGAGGTAAAGAAATACTTTAAAACACAATTTTAAGTCATTTTTGTTCTCTAGCTACAAGTTTGAAAGGATGGATTTTCTAACTTTTTAACACTATAGACTGTAGCTGCTCTGGTAAGATTTATCAGGTAAGATATCTCAGACAGGATCTGTGTGTGTGTGAGAGGCACTGTCTGCTTTGCAGGAAACCTGCTGCTGGGCATTGCCCATTTTATTCTCAGAGTCCCTACATTTTTCTATCCATTGCCATTTTAGGAGCTTCTGCTGTCATTTGCTAGTTCAATGTCAATAAACTTTCTTGAAGTGAACTTTAAAAATTAAGAATACTTAATGTATTTTTCACTGTAAAAAAAAAAAAAAAAACAATGAGATAAGGTGTCGATGCCCCCTAAGAATACCACAGGGGCACCTGGGTGGCTCAGTGGGTTAAAGCCTCTGCCTTTGGCTCAGGTCATGATCCCAGGGTCCTGGGATCAAGCCCCGCATCAGGCTCTCTCCTTGGTGGGGAGCCTGCTTCCCCCTCTCTCTCTGCCTGCCTCTCTGCCTACTTGTGATCTCTGTCAAATAAATAAATAAAATCTTAAATAATAAAAAAAAAAAAGATGTAGAGTGGCTGGACTAAACACCACCACCACCACCATCAAAACAAGACCCATCTCTACAGTGCCTACAAACTAACTGCAGATATTGCATGCAAATGGAAACCAAAAGAAAGCTGGGAGAGTTCACTTGAACAAAAGAGGCTCTAAAAGACTGTAATAAGAGATAAAGTAGGGCATTACGCAAAGGGGTCAATCCAGCAAGATAGAACATTTGTAAATATTTATGCACCAACATAGAAGCACCTAAATCTATAAAACAAATATTAATAGACCTAAGGGAGAAATAGCAATCTAACACCTAGGGAACCTTAATACCCCATTTATGTTAACAGACCATCCAGACAGAAAATCAACAAGGAAACCTACACCTTCAGTAACATTGAACTTGAGGTGGAATGTTCTGTATATGTTAAGCCCATCAAAAAGCCACAGGGCAGAGAGAGAAGATGGCACAGGAGGAGGATCCTGAGCTCACCTTGTTCCACAGCCATACGCAGGCAATATCCATATCTACACAACTAACTGAAAATAACTTGAAAATTGGAAGACCAGATATTCTACAACTCCACAGAGAAAACACCACACAGAGGAGGATAGGAGGGTTAGAGATGTAGTTGAGAAGTGAACCCCTAGAACAGATAACCACAAGTGGGAGAGAAATCACCAGCACAGAGGAGTGAGGGGATCAGACCCCACACTAGCTAACCCTAGCCCTGAGGATTTGCACTAAGATGGCCATTCCCACAATGTCTGGCTTTGAAAAATCAGCAGGCCTAAATTCTGGGAGAGCCAGAAGGCAACAGGCAAGAAAGTCCCCACGGTTAAAGAGACAGCATGCCAAGTAAATTGGCCTGAGACACAGCATAGAAACAGGACTTTGCAAAGCACCTGGGGTATGTGTAGTAGACATGTATTGACTAATCTTAGAATGTGTGCTGGAGGGGCAGGGATCTTTAGTAGGAGATTTCTCTGGGTACAAACTGCTGGGTACCATTTTTCTCCTCCCCCCCCCAGCCTAGACAGCCATCACTTGCTGGAGCCAGTTCTAATACTTTGCTAGTATCTACTTTGCTAGTATCCAAAGGACTCCAGCTCTGAAAAAGGGAGGAGATAAGCCTGCTTCTAGGAGTCTTAACTGGATGCATAGAAGCAAGCCCTGCCCTTTGGTACAGGGAGGGTAGGGCAGAGACTAATTGCAGACAGTTAGGATGACAGCTGTCCCCTGCCCCCAATCTACCAGCAAGCTCACAGTGGCTATAGCTGGGTTTCTCAATAGCAGGTGGAACAAACCCTGCCCAGAGTGCCCATAGCAACTGAAGTGGCTTACTGCAGTCGGCTGGGCTAAGGCCAGCTCCACCCCACCGTGTCCAGAGCAGATGTGGTTCAGCCACAATGGGAGGGCCTGGTTCTGTTGATGCACTATAGAGCATCATAGGACCTCTTCTATACAAGGCCACCTAATAGAAACACACACAGAGAACTAGAGAGGATGAGACAGAAGAATATGTCTTAAATGAAAGAACAAGATAGAATCACAATAAAAAAGTGAAGCTGAGATACGCTGGAGAGAATGGATAAACTCAGAACTTCAACAAGAGACGAAAAATCTAAAAAGAACCAGTCGAGCTAAAGAATACAACAACTGCAATGAAAAGATACACTGGAAGGAACTAACAGCAGATTAGAGGATGCAAAAGAAGGTATCAGCAACCTGGAAGACAGGGTAATGGAAAGCACCAAGCTCACAGCAAAAAGAAAAAGGGAATGAAAAATGAGAACAAGTTAAGGAAACTCTGCAACATCATGAAGCATTAAAAGATTTGCATTACAGGAATCCCAGAAGAAGAAGAGAGAAGGGGCAAAAACATATTTGAAGGAATAACTGAAAACTTGGCTAATCTGGGGAAGACAACAGACATCCAGATCTAGGAGGCACAGAGGGCCCCTAAGATGGTGAATCAAAGGTGCACACTAAGATACGTAGTAATTAAAAGGGCAGAAAGTGTTGACAAAAAGAGAATCTTAAAAGCAGCAAGAGGAAAGAAAAGTTATATGCAAGGGAAACCACAACAAAGCTATCAGGTGATTTTTCTTTTTTTTTTTTAAGATTTTATATATTTATTTGACAGAGAGAGAGAGATCACAAGTAGGCAGAGAAGCAGGCAGAGAGCCCTATGTGGGGCTGTATCCCTAGACCCCGAGATCATGACCTGAGCCGAAGGAAGAGGCTTAACCCACTGAGCAACCCAGGTGCCCCTATCAGCTGATTTTTCAACAGAAACATTGCAGGGTGCAAGGGAGTTTCATGATGTATTTAAAGTGCTAAAAGGAAAAAAACAAGCAAACTTAGAACCAAGAATGTACTCTGACCAGGAAAGCTATCATTCAGAGTAGAAGGAGAAACCGAGTTTCCCAAATAAAAGTTAAAAGTGTTCATTGGCGCAACACTGGCCTAGAAGGAAATGTTGAAAGGAATTCTTTAAATGTATACAAATCATAACTAGAGGAAAATTATGAAAGGAAAAAATTATACGAGTGAAAGCAAGCATATAGTAAAGGTACTGGGTTAATCACTTATAAAGCCCATAAAGATTAAAACACAAAAGTTGTTAGATCATTTACATCTATAAAAGTTAGTCAAAGGATACACAAGATAAAAATATGTAAAATATAACATGTATGTGAAATGTCAAAGGGGAGTAAAGATGTGAGGCTTTTACAGTGTGTTTGAACTTAAGTGAACATCAACTTAATATAGACTGCTGTGCATGTAGGATGTTACATCTGAATGTATGGTAACCACAAACCAAAAACCTATAAAAGATACACAAAAAATAAAACCAAGCATAACACTAAAGAAAACCATTAAACCACAAAAGAGAGCAGAGAAGAAACAGAGTAGAACTACCAGAACTGGAAAACAATTAAAATGGCAACAAATACATACCTGTCAATAATTGCTTTAAATGTAAATGGACTAAATGCTATCATCAAAAGAAGGTGACTGAGTGGATAAAAAAACCAGCACCCATCTATCTGCTGCCTACAGGATACTAACTTCAGACCTAAAGACACAGGTGAAGGGATGGAAAAAGGTACTCTATGCAGATGGAAGTGGGTGGGAAAAAGCCAGCGTAGCCATTTTTATCAAACAAAATAGATTTTAAAACAAAGAATAGAGGGAGAGAAAAAGAAGGGCATTAGATAATGATA